GAAAAACAAGTTAAATAGGTTGCAGTGTTTATATTTACAGAACGACACGCATACACTCTGAAATAATTCTGGCAGTTTCTCCCGAGATTTAGTATTCGGAACACGATGAACTAACCTTCCTTTCCGCAGATTTGTTTCCATCACTAATGATGTTACGCTCTTATGGACCACAACGGTTTTTAGCGACAAACTCGACATTTCCCTGCGACCATCAAAATCAACTGGACAAACCCAGCTTGATATATTGCGTGACGTGATTGTGCAAACTTTTCTCTTTGTCATACGACTTGTTTCGCAGGTTCTACGAGTTGGAAGCGGGAGCGGCACTTAAATGTCAAACTAAACATTATTTTAACTAGAGTTTTCAAGAAAACTTTTGGTAAATTATTAAAATGCGCCCGAGTTATTTACTAAAACATATTTTCGAACTGAATTCTTTTGCTCGCCAATTATGGATAGCCAACAAAGATGACTACCGATGGTTTTTCTTTTTTCTTTTTTTGCGGCAAAACATCCTGATCTATGAATTCCAATCGCCTAACATCTCCTGATTTCGGTTGCACATAAAGATCTTTGCTATCTACCTGCGTTTAAAACTAGACTGTGAACGGAAAAAAATAAAAAGGAGAAGAGGTTGAATTCATTGGTGAAAGTAAAAAAGAAGCCTGCATGTCCACACAAAGAAAGAAAGAAATTCAAAGCACAAAGGCGTAAGAATCTCACCGAAACGGATAAAGGCTCGTGGTTTAGACAATCTTCGCTGCTCGCACTCCGTCAGTAACCACAAGGTTTGCCGCGGCTTGCCTAAGGCGCTTTCATTTGAAAATAAAAATAGTTGAAATAAAAATTATCGTTCAGCAAAATTGAAATAAAGGTCTGTCACGGGAAACTCTTTCATAGCTACTCGCATAGTGTTTTCGCTCCGAGTCACCTGAGACTCTACAGGGCGCCTATGTGTTTCTACTAGCGGTCGGCATTTCGAATTTATTAGAGTGTAATCATAACTTGACAAGTTGTCATCCAATAGCGTGAATTATTGGGAAAATTTTGAAAGCAAAAAAGAAAACCTACTTCGTTTTTACGCGAATGAGCCTTCTTTAAACGAATTAATGAGGTACGTAAACTTAACGGATTGCCTTGAAATTTGGTCCGGGGGGAACTCCGTTTTTCAAATAGATCTCCTCCAATGGCCTTCGACGTAGTGCGTCGCTAAAATTTTGATCAGCAAACTTGACAAATGAATTGCAAAGTAATCAATAGGAATATCGAAAAATTCCCACACGGTTTTGAAGACCAGCTCCTCAGGATCAAGATCGTGCAGAAGTCTCATTAGTGCGGTCAGATTTGATGTGCGAACAATTCGCTCAAAGAAACATCGTTCATTTCGAATTGCCGTACACCCCATTCGGTTTACGATTGGGTCAAGCGAAAACGAAATAATTTTTGCCGAATAGTACGTACACTCCATAAATTCCCATTGAGAACATTATAATCTATGGTACTTGTGCTTCAAACGGCACATTAAATACTTTTTTTTGCAAAGGATACCCGCGAAGGTCCACCGTATCCTGAACTCATCGTTTGGGTTCAATACCTACCCTCTGAAACTAAAGCTGAAAACACTTCCAAGGAAACATGTGTTAAGTGAAAGTGGAACGATAGATTCCCGTAAGTTAACTTGGCCTTCGCTTTTTACAACCGATGACCTTCGCGACATATTCAAGGTACAATAGCATAAAAAAAAATATTGAATAAGTTATCCTAGAGATGCTTGTCATTGACTTCAGTTGACACTTAGCTCACTATGCTAATCTTATTTGCCAAAATATTGGAGATGTTCGTTCGCAGTTGGCGCTAACTATCTCCATATTCACTCGATCCAATTGTTACCATAGCTTCATGGTTGGGAGGGTAATGTTTCACTTTGCTGAGGCAACAATAGTGATTGACTGAATGATTATCTAGCGGCAATTAGATAACAGCATAAAGTATCTATGATAAGATTTTACGCCTATAACAAACGGCGTAATTTCCTCCAGTCGTTAATACATATACTGTAAATTTTACGCCGTTAATATAATTCTATAGGAAAATTCATTTCCTGTCTCGTGAATTCCGCGTTAAATTGCACGCGAACACCTGTATCGCAGGAATCGCGATATAGGTTTCAGTGAATCTCGTGGAGAGAGCAGTGCCTCATATTTTACAATCTTCAGCAAAAAAAACTGAAAGTACAAAATACAGAGATATTTAGAACAAAGATTTTATAGAAAGATTCTTTCATACAGTGAATATCTTGGATTTGCCTGCTACCATACAACTTGCCAAAATATGGCGCCGACAATCAACAACTGAAATGCTTAAGCAAAAGGAAAATTTCGAGCGTTTCGGTATTAAATAAGATCTCCAAAAAAACCGCTAAGTGCTTTATGGTTATGAAAAATTGTGTCCAAAATGTAATGATTAAGACTGGAATTTCTCAGTAAACTCTTACGAAAAATAGCTCAAAAAAAGCTCAAACGTCACCATTTTAACAGTTTTTCTTTCACTGCAGAGAGTCGCTTGTTGGTGTCATGTTGGACTAAAAGTTTATATATGTTATTCACCAGACGGGAGGTTCGTATTGGGAAAAACTGTGCCCGAGGTCTTGGGCGGTACACAAGACAGAGGGCACAGTTTTTCCCAATACGGACCGACCTTGGCTGGTGAATAACATTTTTATTTTTTTTCTGAAACCTAACAAATGGTTGCGAAATGCGATGCGATGGTTGTGAGCGGGCTGAATGGGGAGAATACTGCCCGCTCTCGGAACCAATCGGATTGCAGGATTTGTAGAATACCGCCCGCTCACGAACGGAGAAAAAAACAAATGGAAATATTTACTAAAGAATTATCAAAAGTTACTCCAGTAAACATCCCGCCAACTGCCCTTCCATCAGGCAACTATAACGACTGGCACTGCCGTCACGGTTACTCGTAGCTGCTGTGTTGCTTGGCGGGGCTGAGCTGTTGAGAACAATCTCCCGTAAAGCATCACTTGAATCGCTGTTGAAAGTCGTCGTGCTTGGCTTGAAACCAACCAACCTACTCGGTATAAGACGCTGTTTTTTCAGAGGATTTTGGCAGTAGCTGGATATGGATTCCGGATTGGCGTGGCCAGTCAGCTCTGAGATCCTCTTCTCACCGCAGTAAATTTACTGTGGATCTTGCGGAAATTAATGATTGTATTAATATTGAGATTGGGTAGTTCAGCAAAACTAGGCAGCATTACCGATTTTATGTATGATATTAGTCCTGTCCCGTTTAGCGGTGACTGAGAAGAAGAAGTGGAAAGATTTAAAAAAAAAAAAAAAGGACAAGACGCTGAAGATTTATTATGTTTATAGTTGGTTCTGTTATTTTCTGCCTTCTTCCACTTTGCTTCTGTCTCGTCGTTAAAGCTACAGGCCTTTCTGAGAGTTACCCTATCAACGAACCATTTACGCAAAAAATGTACCATGTTAAACTCACTTGTTTAATTTACTGATATCCTTGTTTTTTTCACAATTAGGGAAATGTGGAACGTCTACTTAATGACATGACAAAATTAAATCGTTCATGTGGCGACAAAAAGTTTCCATATTATGCTAGATGCATGTGCTAATGTTTGTGATTCTAAGAATAAGCGCAAAGTTGCAATAAATTCTACAATCTACGTAAAATAATTTATGGACAGAGGAATTCGCATCACCGAAGAACAAACAGACTTAAGAAATTTTTCCTATCCATGCACGACGACAGAAGGGAAAATGTCAAGGAAAAGGAGCTTACGGAAGGTTTTACGGACCGATTTTATGTATGATATTAGGCTTCAGTAAAAGCACCGACAGACGGTCATTGTTGTCGGGTTTATCGTACGATCCTAAACTAAAACATGTAGTAATCGATCTCGTCAGTTGGTAAAATTGCCGACAACTAGACTCTGAATCTAGCTTTATTGTTGACGTAGCCGAAAATCTTATTTAATTTCATTAACACTTCTTTACCGAACTTTCAAGAACTGTGCTTAATGCAACTGAGACCGTTGATATGTACACCGAATGTCGCACCGAATAGCTAAGCGTATGACGCTACGAACTTGCAGTGTGTCATGCTGTATTGTTCATGTTGCTGTCGTTTAATCTGAGTAAGCTTACCCCTAATTGAGAGAATTATAAAACATTTAAGACGAGTCAAGGCATGTCAAATGCACTTTCTCTTGGTTTGCTAGAAGTCCAGTTGCCGCAAATTTTGCTGTCCGGAAATTATTGACGGACTTCTGCACTTCCGTCGCCAATCGAGTGTTCTAGTTTCCCCTAGATGATGTGAATATAGATAACGGCGTAATATGTGACTAACACAGTCTATAGACTGTGCGATTTTACGCTGCTATCTGCGTCGGAATAATAATCATAATAAATTAGTATATAATAGAATCGCTTAGCCAGAGGTAAACTCGCGGTCTGATTGGCTATCGAAGAGAGAGTATTTAGCGTGGAATTGCACTTCTGCATGAAGGGATATTGTAGACGTGGGTCGCGAGCAAAAATTGTTGCTATCTGAGGAGCCGCAGATCACTGAAATCCGGAAAGTAATGACGAAATTCTATAGGCTGTCGTGGTTACTCTGATACTTTTAACCTCAGTTGATCAGGCATGAAATACGCTCCAGGTCAGTAGAAACTATTATCATTATGATAACTGACATGCAATCAGTTGATCAGAAACGCTACGAGCTAATAAAGAGTTGCCTAAATAGCTGTAATTGTAGAACATTAAAAAGAATATCTTCCATAATATTGCATAGCATTAGTTGTGCAACTTGCCTGTTGTATTTGGGACATAACGCAAATCCTATATACTCATTAGTATTTCCTTGTGTTTAAGGAGACAATTAACGAAAAAAACCTTTTCGTGGGAAAACGCGTAGTTCTTTTCTTAAACCATTTAACGAGAACTAGAGAAAAAAGAACGAACAAAAAGTTGTATTCACTGTTTATTATAACTTTAGAAAACAGGGACAATTGAAAGTAACTTTGTAATTTGCAGGCGGTTAACGAATCACCTCCCGAAAACATAATTACCAAAAAAAAAACAGTAACTCAGGAATTTTGTTTATCCAGTGGCTGGAAAAGACGTCAGCAAATTTTAGATATGTGGTACCTAAGGTTTTAACACTTTCTACCAAACTCCCTTCCTTCACTGGTTGTGTATATGCACTACCGCGGGTCTTATTTCAAAAATGACCTGTCTCATCTCTTTTTGTCTCCAGCAGTAAATCAGTGGATTAACAAACGAGTTTAACATGGCACATGTTTGCATCAATGACAGATCGATGGGGCAACTTTCAGAAAGACCTGTAGCTATAATAATAAGACAGAAACAAAGTGGAAGAAGACAAACGAAAACAGCACCAACTACATATAAAGTTGTCTTAAGCGCTTTGTTTTCTTTGGTAAATCTTTCCACTTCTTCCTGGGGCATTTGCTGAGTTTTAATCTTCTCTTGGTGACGACGTGTTTCACGATACATGATGAAATAAGCGACAGAAAGGAAAATAATACATGAAGCAGTAAGAACACCAGACAGAGAACGTAATACTAGATCCCATTCTATCACATCAAAAACTCCAAAAATAAAGGAAATGATCCAAGCTACTAACACTGCTCTCTTCATGCTATTATCAGTTATAATGTTTGAGTACTGCATTGTAAATTTGATAGCTATGAGTCTCTCGAAAGTAACGAACATCAGATGAAAGAATGATGCTGTAAGTGTTATAACCACAATTGCGTAATTGCAGTTTTCAACTATTTTACTGTCACTGAGACCAACTAATAGGAAAATCTTCCACAGGACAAACAATGGCTGGCCAAGGAGACCAGTTAAGGCGTCGGTCACCGCTAAACAGGCCAGCAAGATGTTGCTGTTGGTACGGAGTCGAGGCGTCGTTTTCACAGCCTTTATCACAAGTGCGTTGAGCACAACTGTGCAGGGAAAAGTGATGGTGTTGATGATGATTATGATTATGGCACCAGCCACCGGAGGTACATCTGCTGTGTCGCCTCGTCCGCTAGTTTTGTTTGTAAAATTTGTAAAACTGGCCAAGGAAACGTCTACCATGTCGTTCTGGAAGCTAAATGCAAGATAAGTATACGTCTCGGAACAACTTGTTCAACCAGTCGTTCTCTCTCTAGCATGAAATCGGAGGAAGGTAAAGGGGCAGGAAATCTTATGGCTTTAATAGAGAGTGGTTTAAGCATCTCCTGGGAGTAACTTCTCAGTCGACATGTGTCCAGCAACAATACAGGAAAAAGCTGAATCAGAATCGCTAAACGCCGCCTAATCAAAAGGATTTTCCTCAAGCTCTGCCCATGAATAAGTCTTATTCCAAAAATGATTGAGGTCATTTTTAATTAGATTTTTCAGGTATTGCCAAACGTGTGCTTTTAAGTCTAAAATCGTTTCAGCCCATGAGAGCTCGATTGACCACTATGACTAGAAAGTGTTCGATCGTCTCTTCACTTAGAAGTATGTTCTCACTTAATTTCTGAGGATTGTTTTACGCTATCCATCGATCGATAGGTGTTTCGTGTTTCATAAGTTGATTAGTTTTCATTTGTTCGATTAGATTTGCATTGGAAAAAAAGCATATACAAATTCTTTAGTTTGAAATCTATCTTGCGGCTTTTTCATTTCCAATCATATGTAAATCACTGTAAGTTTAAAGCTCACCGTTTTAGGTGCGTCAAGAAAGATTCATTTGAAATATCTAATAATTTGACACTGGTCTCATCTTCCGTGTCGTGGTTTTATAATTTGCCTTTTGCGTAAACCGCCCATTTTTTCGCGCAATATTCCGCAATTCGGATCAATGAAACCAAGATAGGAAAGCAAGAGGGTAAAAAACACATGTTTGGCGCAGCCGCTCAGAAAATTATGAATACTTTTTGAATGATTGCTAATGAGGCAAGTGATGCAAACGAAATAAGCATGAAGAAAATGTTGTTTCAACCGTTTACGTAGGCTGTAAGGGCTTCTTTAATTTTGGTTTGCGATCAATTGATAAGACATCGTAGTATCCATGAAAGAGAATGCCCCAATCTTAATTATGAAAATTCAGTCGGTTACCAATGGGAAGTATACTCTATACTAATTTATTTTTTAATTTCTCTTATCCTTTTGATAGTGCGATACTTTGCTGTAAGGAAACAGGTTGAATTTTATGGATTGTAGTTGCAATAAACAGTTTCGCTTCCCGAGAGGGCCCATCAAACAAAACGATTTCTTCATTACGACCCGAAAGTGAGGAAATTGCTTTTAAAGTGATTCCTCAGTATTGCACTGTACATCATGTACTGGAAATAAAAATTTATGTAATCAGGCGGATAAGCGCGCGCGCTTTCCAAGAACATGGTATTTTTTTTCAATCAATGGACCAAGTAAAGAAGCATGATGGTCTTCAGCTCTTGAATTAGCACGGTGACCAATATTTTTATTGCATAAATTTGGTGTAAAAATTGTCCCCTGTAAATTGGAAAAATCAAAACGATTATCTAAGGATAAAACAGATATAGCTAAAAGCGTGCACTTGCTTCCAGCTACCGCAAAATGTACCTTGAACGGATGAAACTACGCGCGTGATTGGCTCACATCACTTACAAACGTAATCAATCCATGCGGCATCTTACAGTTATTTCTTCGGTTTAAAACGGAATTAAAGAAATCCTTTTGCTTAATCTGATAGGCATGTTCGATTGGTTTCGTCGTTTATTGCAATTGCTATCTATTTAATTCAACCTGATTCCTAAAAGTAAAGCCATACACTATGATAAGGAATAAACCAACCAGAACGGCAGTCAGAGAGACTTTGACAATCCTTAGAGAGCCTGCTTTCAGATATAGTGACGAAAGAAATTCGATTTCAAGAGTATATTCCCCATCGGGTGGACTTAATTTCCATGTTCAGGATTGAAGCCATCTCTTATGTAAATTATACAATGTGATATCGGCGTAAAAAAAAACAAAAAACAAAAAACAAAAAACAAAAAAACAAGTTTTCTCAATGCAAATTTCTTTTGGATCGTTAACAACTTTCGTAATTTTCATAATTTTCTGAGCGGTTGCGCTGAACATTTACTCAAATCAGTTTACTTTCTAATTCCTTCATCCTGGCTTACTTCAGTGAGTCGAATTGCGAGACCTTGTGCTGTAGAAGTAAAATTGAAACTTGCGAACGATGTAACTGGCCATTAAAAAAGCCGTAATGTAAATACTATTCTTTAAGCCCATGGTGCCAGGGCACAATAGATGCCAAAGGATCAAAAGTTTTCGTCCGTCAAATAAGATTTGACGGACGAAAATTGATGAGCCAAACGTGCACGAAACATTTATGTAGCCATGGAAAGCGAAATAATCTCCTGAAGTTAGAACAATATGTTATGTGAGAAGGCAGTCAAGATGTTTTTCATTATCGCCACAACTTCAATTTAGCTCTCATGCGCTGAAACCATTCTGGACTTTTAAAAACTAATTTTGTAGTATTGGTAAGATGGGATTAAAATTGGGCCTCAATCACTTTCGGATTAAAATTTATTCATGGGCAAAATACTAAGAGAAATTTATTTGATCGGACGGAGTTTAGCGTTTCCAATTCAGCTTTGTGCTGCATTGATGTCATGCATATGTGGATTCAGTAGTCATTCCCAGGAGATGAAAAATGAAACCTGACTTTCTTCGTATTATGTAATGGTAAACGTCTTGTAGAAACGGTTGTTCAGATACATACTTTAGTTGCATTAAATTTCCAATTAGATATGGCAAACTTTTCCATGGATAGTTTTACAAACGCTACAAACTTAACCATTGGAGAAGGCGACACAGCAGATGTCCTATTGGTGCTCAGTTACATTATAACCATCGTCATCAACACCATCAGTTGTCACTTCATAGTTCTCCTCAACGTGCTGGTGATAACGACTATGAAAACAAGATCACGACTCTAAACTAACAGCAACATCTCACTGTCCTGTTTAGAGGTGACTGAGAAGAAGAAGTGGAAAGATTAAAAAAAAAAAGGACAAGGCGCTGAAGATTTATTATGTTCATAGTTGGTTCTGTTATTGTCTGCCTTCTTCCACTTTGCTTCCGTCTCGTCGTTAAAGCTACAGGCCTTTCTGAGAGTTACCTTATCAACGAACCATTTACGCAAAAAATGTACCATGTTAAACTCGCTTGTTAATTTACTGATATCCTTGTCTTTTTTTCACAATTAGGGAAATGTGAAACGTCTACTTAATGACTTGACAAGATTAAATCGTTCATTTGGCGACAAAAAGTTTCCATATCATGCTGGGTGCATGTGCTAATGTTTGTGATTCTAAGAATAAGCGCAAAGTTGCAATAAATTCTACAATCTACGTAAAATAATTTAGGGACAGAGGAATTTGCATCACCGGAGAACAAACAGACTTAAAAAAATTTTCCTATCCATGCACGCCTTTACGACAGAATGTCAAGGAAAAGGAGCTTACGGACGGTTTTGAAAACATGCCCATAGTATCAGAATTTGTCAAAATGCACCTAAATCAAATGAACACCAAAACCATGTTCACAGCCGCAGTGATTTGGAAATCATGAAGACTAAAATAATTAGAAAATACAACTGTGGCAATAAAAGCCTAGCGTAGTGTTGCACTCATCTTACTCTATTAAGATCCAACACAAGAGCTTTCCTTCTTACAAGATTTAATAACAAGAGTTTCATGAAACCTAATCGTATAATCAAAAGATTAAAGGATAAAGGTATAACCAGTTGCAAAAGTAGTTGAGACATTTGAGAACAGAAAAGTGTTCACCATGTGATCCAACATATTGTATCCCCTTACCCCTCTTTTGCAATGTTGCTATAGGCAGTATCATGTACATGGGAGTACCTTTTGATTTTTTTTGTTTTTTTCACTAACATTCTTATTAACCTTCAGATGAAATCGCTAACCGCACTTTTTCTTCAAAGTGTCTCAACATTTTTGCAATTTGGTGGTAGCTTTTGACTTTGGTATATTATGAATTGATCTACCTCACTAAGTAGAGTAATACGACATATTCGTAAGCATACAGTTCCAAATAAAACAAACAACAGAAAAAAAACAAAAACAAAAATAACGACGACAACAACAACAACAAAAAAACAGTTGTCCATCAATAAGTACCCTTGAAGTCAGTTGTGTGTTTCTTGGGGATGCATTGCGGTCCTACAGGAGTGCCATATCGCTCCACCTTCTGCGCTGAGAAGTTATAGGGCTCAATCGGTGTAATTAAGATGGCATTGGTAGATCCGATAGAAGGATCCTCGTCAAAGTAGTTGAAAGGCCTTATGAAGAAGCGAGCGGAGTTGGCAGCCGTGGCGGTGTTGGGCAGGTCTTCTGCATGAGGCACATGCATCGCGCCAATTGTAACCCAGGCAACCAAATCCTCGTTCACAATGGGGTCATCATCCGCGAGGTAATTACGGAAATCAACCTGTGAAATGGTAAAGAAAGATTAAATATATTCGTAACGTTTGAAGCACTCATAACGGCGTTCATTGCCTTGCCTGACAACATACAACCAATGACAACGAGCACGATACCATAAAAACTATCGTTGTCTCCAAAATATGTTCATCAAGAGAGCATTATTTCAATTCAACGTGGTCAGATTGGATGCGTTTTCCATTTATTACCAAACGTTTGGAAGAGTGTTTCCCACGCAGCTCTTAACCCTCTTATACTGTATCCTCCAAAACAGACATTATTTCTTCGCTACATGTATTTATATATAAGTAGTTCACGTTAAACAGAAGAAAACAAGCTTTAGAAAAGAGAGCCTAACCTGTGGATCTGTTGGCGAGTTTTGATTATAAATAGAGCTACTCTGTGTCTCATTCTCTTTGTACTTGGTGATAGCCATTTGATAGAGGGACCAGCTCAACATTGGTGTGATCATCCAGTCTTCTGGGTACAACTGCTTCAACATGTTGTCCAGCTGGATGCGGTATCCTTTTTTCACACCCATTCGGTTTTTCTTCTTTTCATTGAAAAAGTTTAGGTACATTGGATGGTCGAAGTCAAACTTGTAAGATGCATCCATCTCTGATTTCTTCACATCGCGTTTCAGAACTTTCTGGACACGTTGTCTGTTAGGAAACCATCGCTCAGTGATGTTTTCGATCCCAATTTCGATAGTCTCGTACGAATTTCCCCTGCCATCAACGTCCAGATCCACTTTATAGTTGATAAGGTGATCGTGTGTACCACTTGTGAAATCCTCATGAAGCGGGTATGCGTATGGGTCCATGTTGGAGTTATAGAATGCTCCAAAAATATACCCAGAAGCTGACATCTTGACTTCAATGACTCCGTTCTGGTAGAATATGAAGTCGAAAACATAATCGTAATTGTAAACTGTTGCCACTGTACGCAGAACTAATACTTGGTTGGCCATCCCTCCATAAAACTTGTAACCATTATAAAAGTTGTTATCATAATGTCGACGAAGTGGTGTTCCAGTATTTAGTTCAAATACGCACACTGCGTTGCGAAAGGTCTGCGGATTTCCAACTCCAATCATGTGCACTAAGTCGAAGAAAGTAGCAGTATTAGGGCAATCAACGCCTCGAACCATTTCGTAACTACTCATTCCCATTCGCCATGAGCCGTCAAGAAAGTTATTCCAAGAGGGGCTTGGATAAAAACCTGCGTAAGAAGCCGCTGCTTCTTGAAGACTGAGTTCGTAAACAATTCTCTCTCCGTTAAATTTAATATCGTAGATTTGCATGCCACTGTTGGAATCCATTCTGAAATCAAACGACCACGACATGTAGATAATTTGACGTCCATTTACGGTGTAACGCTTTCCATCGGGCTCATACTGCACTGGTTCTCTCATTGGCTTAAATGGCTGAGGAACTTCTCGACGTTCGTAACTGGAAAATAGCGCGTCTGTGCCTTTTGGAGCTGGCACAAAAATCTTGTTAATGGTATTATTTTCGAATTTTCCCGCTAACTCGTCTATAGTGTCAAAAGTCTGATTGTTATAAAGAACCTTGAGGATTTTCCATTTAGAAACGTCCGCTCCTCCATGATCTACCAGGAACATCAAGTCTAGAGGATGAATATAATGGCCCGCAACATCCCCGCGAAAAAAGTAGATCCAGGTATAGCGGTCCTCCCCTGTAAAACCCATAGGAGCTGTGTAAAGGAACTGTAAGCACTTCATACCAGAGATACAGGGGACGATGTAGATGTAGCCGTCATAACTTTCAGACATTAACTTGGCGAGTTTACTGGCAGCTTCCTTGACAATCGTTCTTTCCAGTGCGTTATATTCTACAACGCCATCAAAAGGGCGAGCATTAAATGGAACAGTTTTTTTCTGTCCACCTGGAATCCCTCTAACCTTGTAATCAGTTGGCGTCGAAACCGGATGGATGATGTATTCTTTTACCACAGGTGGACCGGTGGCACCATGGAAAACCACAGCAACAGCTTTTCGTTCGGGCTTGGCGCCATTATTGTCTAGATGCTCCAGAACTTCCTCTTTCGACGGCGGAAGCAACTGTATCAAGTAAATATAATTGCTGTCGACTGTAGCCTTGGAATATTCCGTGAGGTTAAGTGAGGCCTGCTTCAGTAAATAATCCCTAACGGCGGTGATCTCGCTGACTGTCAGGTCGTTAAAAGGACTCGAAGACTTTGGTGGTTCTTTGGAACTCGACATTCCATCAGCACAAGGTTCCACACTCATCGTGGTCTTAGAGGTTGGTTTTGGCTTTGAGTCTTGGTTCTCGGCCCCTTTCTGTTGCTTTGTTGCAACAACTATCAGAGCAATTAAAAGTGCTACACTTATTACGATGAAGATGATGGCCAGGACCTTCCACAGCATAGGGGCTGAGCTGGGCGCTGGGCTGGCTTTCTTCTTAAGCATAGGATCGCTCGATTCCATTGCCAACAACGACCTACGCAAGGTAGAAATGAAATCAATTTGAGATTATCACTTTTGCTGACTAATAGCGTGCAATTAGCAGATATTGTTTTGTGCCTCCGGCTGGCATTCTTTGGACTTAATTAATTCTGGTCCTCTTGACCTTGGAAACGCTGTGGTAATTTTATACATGCTTTAACAAATAGAGAAGCCTTGACCGTGCTCTGTTCTGTTGTAATGCACGCAGGAGGCGACTAGAGTACGAAAGAAGTGTAGGGAGAAACACGAGGCGTAGCTTTGCTTCGTTGGACATAGTACAATTTAGCAGATGGCGTGACAGCTTTAGCTCTGCTCTATGCTTTGTACTCTGATACCAATCAATCAATACCGATCAAGCAAAACTTAAAAGTAAAACCTTCTTTTATGGCTCACGTTATGGGAAATAAAAGACACAACCAAATTTGATACTGTATTAAGACCAGAAAAAATGAACTTCTTTGGAACTGACGGGGTTTAGGCCCTTAGCGCACGCGAGGATAATATGTTTCGAACGAAAAGAAAGCGCCATAGACTTGGGGACAAATAATTCAAGGGTCGAAATTCCTTCACTTTAATATAACTTGCAAAACGTGGGTTTGCTTCTCTAATGATCTCAAAATCTTCAAATGCTTCCATGCGGCTTCCCGATAAAACCAACAAGCATACTCAGAGTCTCAGCCCTGTTTTTCATTTCATGCGGTGACAACGCAAAAAACGTGACTCTTAAGATCTCTTTAACAATAACAATAATGACGTAAAGCAGACAGTGTGAGAGAGAGATTATTTGCATATAATAGTTGAGGCAGAGGTCGTTTTTGAAAATGTAACCTTGAAAACAGCTATGTAACAATATCAGTAGATAACTGACAGCAATTTCTTGCTTCTTCTCGCAGTTCTGTTGGCAATAACTTCGCATTTTAGTAAAACTGTTGGGAAATTGTCACACAAAACTGTCGTGAGACATTTACTAATTTGCTTGTTCCAATGAATGTTTTGCTTTTCATCCGTTTTCTTTTAAATAGCCACCTCTAAAAGCATGAATTTTTTTCCGAAGCAAATCAATTGATGAAAAGAGTAGAATAACAATTGGTTTTGATTTTCTTCAGGATCAAGAGATTTAGTTTGTACGCTTTCAGTATACCATTTCGGGTTTGATTTATATACTGACGGTGTACAGCGGAAATAATATTGAAGTACAGAAAAAAAAAAAAAAAAGGCTGGATATGAAACCTTGTTCCCCATGATAATTACAAAGGCTTACAGCGATCTTCGGTTGAGCCCTTACTTCCTTATTCAATTGTGATTATTCAATTTGATTGCTGTACTTGGTAAACCTAAACGTCCTGAACGGCTCCCGGATGGCCTCTTGGTAATAGTTTGTAATAAATATCCGTTTAGAATGGTGTTAACGTTTCCTACAGGATGAGCTAATCCACAGATGTGTTTCAAGCTTTTCAATACACTATTAAAAAAAAAAAAAAAAAA